ATGATATAAACAAGAGTATGCACTGCTTATCACAACAAGTGCAGAGAAAACAGAATTCTTCGTAATTACTAGCCCACTTGAAACAGCAATTCTAGAAGAAAAAGACCTGCAGAAATGCAGAAAAACTATTAACAACCTCTATGGTTTTAAAACTCTGACTCATTCATCACCAGCGCTCAGTATACCCCAGCCTCTAACATTTCTTGGATATCTGAAATGAAAGCATGGAAGAACACATATTAAAAATCAACAGTTTATACAACATTTTTCTCAAGCCACATAAGAGAAGCAAATTAAGCAAGTTCCAAGCACTGAACTGCACAAATGGAATAAAGCTTTTCAGCTGAAGAGGCTAAGCGAGCAGACAATTATACTAAACAATAATGCAGCAACCCATTTTTAGAAGCAAGATCCATCAAGAAGGATCTTGTAACCATTCTATCCATGACAGTAAGTACCTTTTAATGTGTGCAAATGCACAATGCAGATTATTCATTTCTCCAGGAAAAGAAATAACAAAATTCTTTAACCAAACAAGAATATGATGCTATTTTCACATTTCTAAATTTCAACTTTTCATTACCAAATTAACCCAATTTATAACCGCCCACAAGTCTGCATATATGCAAAACACCAAAACATGTAGTGTTCAAAGGTAGGTTTCAGCTCCGGGATTTGGCATCAAAATATCTAATTAAAGAGTAACCACGGTATCAAGTTGGGAATGTCAAAATAAAGCTATCATGTATTGTCTAGATGCAAGAGGGAACTGGGCATTATACATGAGTTTATGGTGGTTTTGGGGTTGTTTTTTTTCTGAGTTAGATATATTTGGTTATTTTTATTCTGACTCAGATATTAAGCATCTAAAAATCAAAAGTCTTCTTTACCCCTTCTGAAAAAAAACTAATTATTTATTTAATTTCCCTTTTATTTCGGTCTCCTTTGCTGCAAGGGTCATTTGAAGATTATAGCAGATTGCCTCTAAAGATTCATGTATCACAAGCGATCTGAACAATGACCTTTTCTGACAGTTTTATTCTGAATATCATACATCTGATTCTAATAGCAACTCTTTAAATAGTGATACATAATATCAATGCTTCCTTCATTCTAACTGCTCTTGAGATTTCCGTGTTCTCTGTCTGTATTCTGTATTCTGTGTGAGAGCAGAAGTACGACTGTCACACAAATCTACCGGGATATATTTCTTTTTAGGTAAAGATAACATGCATGAAACAAGTAACAGGAAAAGGCACCTTGGAAGTACTACAGAGGCATCAGCAAAAAGAAAGGGTCAGTAAGGAACCACAGATATATGATCCACCCACACTTCAGTGTTCGTTTTCTGTCCTTCTAGGATGACATCTGGCCATACTTTCAAAATCAAGGCAACACTGATGTACATTTTAGGTGAGACAATTTAAGGCCTATTTTTGAAATTTAAGAAAATGGAAACAAACAAACACACAGTGAAATCTCTGAAACAGAGAATTCCCAGTGAAAGTAGCAGGGGAGGGCCACGAGGATGATCAGGGGACTGGAGCACCTCCCGTATGAAGATAGGCTGAGAAAGTTGGGTCTGTTCAGCCTGGAGAAGAGAAGGCTGAGTGGAGACCTCATAGCAGCCTTCCAGTATCTGAAGGGGGGCCTATAGGGATGCTGGGAAGGGACTCTTCATCAGGGACTGTAGTGATAGGACAAGGGGTAATGGGTTAAATCTTAAACAGTGGAGGTTTAGATTGGATATAAGGAAGAAATTCTTTCCTGTTAGGGTGGTGAGGCACTGGAATAGGTTGCCCAGGGAGGTTGTGAATGCTCCATCCCTGGCAGTGTTCAAGACCAGGTTGGACAAGGCCTTGGGTGATACGGTTTAGTGTGAGATGTCCCTGCCCATGGCAGGGGGGTTGGAACTAGATGATCTTAAGGCCCTTTCCAATCCTAACTATTCTATGATTCTATGATTTTAAGGAGTCTAAGAACCAACACAAAGAGATCAAAAACTGTACTTTTGTATGTCATAGCATTGCCAGTCCCACAAAAATATGCCCTGACAGGTGTATGGAGTACAATTTCTGAAGAGAAGGTGTCTAAAATAGGCTGTAGCACTCTAAATCCCAAGCTCAAATCCAGAACCTGAGGCATGGGATCAACAATACCAATACAAACTAAAGAGAGAAGTGCTGCTCTCATCACCTCCCGCAAGTCCTTTCACTATGCAGGAGCCCCAGGGAAGTTAAGCATATTTTGCAGGAGCACCTAAGGAGATACTACCATCCCAGTAACTGCACAAAGAAAGCCAGACAGGAAATCTGTAGCTAGAAATATCCAGCAGAAACTAAGGAGAGAAATAAATGTTGGAATTCTAAACAGGCCAAAGGATAACTAAGCAGGAGAAAAAAGAAAAAAAAAACAACAACATAGAGAAAAACTAAAACTCCTCTTTTTAACCATTTTATTTCACCTTGGGTTACAACAGGAGAAGGCAACGCTCACTCAGTAGAATCAAATACTCTGAAACATTCAAGTGTCAGCAAATGACTAGCAAAGAGAAACAACAAAACAACAAAAAAAGAGGCAAAACAAAAGTGAAAGAAGACTTCTTGAGAAAAGCTACAAACTTCAGAGAGAACGAGTAAATGAGGGCATGTGGTTAAGAAGCCAGGAGGGGAAAAATTGAGGGTTTTCAGAAAAACATGGTGAATTGGCCAGATCCAGCCCTCAAAACACTGAACAAAGCTAAAACCCTGGCTATGACCCAGAACACAAAGGTATATGTTCTAACAACATGCTTCAATACCCACAGGTTCAAAAGAAGCAGCCAGGTGTTTATAATAAGTGAGCTATCAAAGAGCAAACACTTTCAATGACCTTTGAAACACAAGTTATTACGTTAACATTTACCATCAGTTTCATCCTGACTTTGGGATTTCCCAGATGCTTTTCTGGATGATGATGGAGCCTCTGTATCTTCCGTGTTTTCCTCACCAGATGCATTTTCACCATCCTACACATACCAATAAATTAGTCATCAGCTTTTAATGTTATAATGACTCATTACTTTTCCCCCCTTATACTTACAGTTAGCATTTAGACAAGTTTCCAGCTTTTGCACTGCTAGTGAAACAGGTGGAATAGTGCAGTATTTTTAAATGACTCAACCCTAGCATTACTCGATTTCAAGGCATTTATATTCTCATTAATACGAGGTGACTCAGACTGTGACTGCTCACATTACTTTTAACCGAAGAGACAAGTCCACTATTTATCTGTCATTACAGTGAGATAAGACACCTGGTTGACTATAAAAAAAAAAAAAAAAGTAAAAAAATCCTTTTAGAAACCTGCCTTTTTAAATACAAAATGAAATATCAAAATAGCATTTGTTAACCCAGTAAGAAGGATTAGGGAGGTGAGGCACTGGAACATGTTGCCCAAAGAAGTAAATGCTCCATTCCTGGTGGTGTTCAAGGCCAAGCTGGACAGAGCCTTGGGTGACATGGTTTAGTGTGCAGAGTCCTTGCCCGTGGCAGGGGGGTTGGAACTAGATGATCTTAAGGTCCTTTCCACCCCTAACTATTCTATGATTCTATCTAGGATATCAGTTGTCTTTCTATGACAGCTGAGTTCTGAATTTTCTCTCTGAAGACCAGGAGATACCAAAATTCAGTTACATTTTGACATAAAGATAGCAAGGTTAAAGTTAACTACAACACTCCAAGCATACAGAATTGCTCTTAACACCTCTATTTGCTTACTTTTAGCCACAAAGCTGCGTCTTCCTCTACTTACTGCTGTCAACAAGCCACAACAAAATAAGTCAAACTGGATCTCTTCCTTAGGTCTCACACAGAAGACGGTGTGGAAGCAGCAGCAATGTATGCTGAATGATTAAATCAAACCCTGCTTCTGCTCACTGCTCTGCCCTAAAGACGAAATTGATCATGGTGCCTGAAGGTAACAGCCACTAGCTTTTGCCACGTCCAAGGACACAAACTGCACTGGCATGAACCAAAGCGCTGCATATGGCACTCCAAAAGGTGTATGCTCCCCTGAGCAACTTGCTGTACAAGAACCTAACGACCCTTATAAATTTCAGTTATTTTCTTACAATTTTGCATGGAAATCAGCAATTATGTAGCCGCAATCAGTAGCTGAGCACCACAGCCATCACCGGAAGCCCCTCACACACACACACACGCAGAGGAGAGCGGTGCTGAGGCGGTACAGGTGCTGCCACGGAGGCAGGGAGCGGCCCGGCCGGGCCGTGGTGCTGCCAGGCGGTGCAAACTCACCTTCTCGCGGCTCTTGCGCTCCTCCCGCCGCCGCTCGAACTCCTCAAAGGAGATCTTCCCCTCCAGGTAATCGATCAGCTCCGGGCTGAAGCCCGACATCGCGCCGGCACGGCCCGCGCAGGGAGAACCTCGTTCAGGGCTGGACGCGGGTCCGTCCCGTTACGGCGCCCGCCGCGCCCCGCGCCCTCGCGCAGGAGTTCCGCCCCGCCGCCGCCTCGGGGGAAACATCGTCCCGTGTGAGCGGGCACCGGCGGGGTTCGGCCTCCCGGGCTCGGGGGGTGCGGGTAGCAGTGGCGGTGGGCGCTGCGGCTCTGCTCGCTGCCTCCCAGCACCCACGGGGGTGGGGTAAGAGGCGTGAGGGAAGCACGTCCGCTTCCGACACCGTGTTTTGTATCACCCCACGCTACTTTCACGTGAGAGGAGTTCCTTAACTTCATGCACGCACACAGTTGTCGTGCAAGCGGCTTAGTGCCAGGGGCACGGTCCGAAACGGGTGTGAAGAGGGTGGGTGTGAGGTACAAGTAGCCATCGCGCTCTGGGGGCTGTGCCAGGGCCCGTATTTCCCCGCTCCCTTCAGTCTCCCAAGGAAGCAGGAGACTTGTGGTAAGAGTATCTGAAAAACCCGAGGATGTCTAGTTCCAGTAACGTGAAAGGTAACATTTATTTACCACTTTTGAACAAAGACACTTAGCGAGAGTTAACATACGCTGTTGCGCTCCTCATTTATTCACATCTAAACACACGTGGTTCTTCTAGGCACATTGTAATAGGCAAACATCGCACATTTGTCAATGGAAGGCAAATGTGCTACTTGCAACAAGACAGCAGATTCCATAGGTAAAAACTGTCAAAGCAATTGTCAAAGCAATCAATGAAGTTAAAAAGTCAAAGCAGTGATATTGTGCTGGGAAGGGGATCACTTCGAGTGAAGTTCAACACTTAATGCCTGGAAAAGAGAGGAGGAAAAACAAAACAAACAAAGGATGTGAGACAAATACAGAAGTATTTATATACACTGGCTGCAATACCCCAGCTGAATGCAGCAGACCTCTACCTCCAAAACCAGTTCTGAACACTGAAAAGAATGACTGAATTATGCAGTACAAACTACCTCCACCAGCGAGTCGCTTTCTCACTGCTGCTGTAACTTACAGGAGAGCTACAGCATCCCTTTTAAAGTCCGTTTTCATTTATTTATCATGAACAATACTCATTGTGCAGAGCAGGTTTTTTTTTCCTGACAAAAAAATCTCGGTTGAATGAGAGCTTTGTACTGAAATCTGAGTGCAGTCTTCATTGCGATTCAGGATAATATCAACCTTCAATTTTAGTCATAGAAATAAGGAAAACGGCATGAGTGGGCAAAGTTATAAAAGATAATGTATGATTTGTTAGTGCAGCATCTTATGTCTAGATTAATTTTCTTAATAATATCATGGGAAACCATTAGTCTCAAGTTATAATTTATTTCTCAATTAATAATGTTTATCAGTTACCAAACTGCTGCATTCTATTACCTGTACATTTTCAGAATTCTTCTCCACATGAAAAGGAGGAGGAATAGAAAACAAGGAAGAAGTGGTGTATGTAGGTCTGCACAAGAGCCATGTGTTATTCTGCCAAAGTAGTACATACCTCATAAATCTCTTAACTATTTTAAACCCAATTCAGGCAAGAGTTACTACACATTTAATTTCTTCTGAAAATGAAGTTGTTTTTATACTTCAGAAGGAAACGAGAATCACTTGAATCCAAATCTTTTGCTTGGTTACATGTAACAACATTAGAGGAAAAAGCAGCATTGTTTACCTTGGTCAGCCTTTGAAATAATTCGGGAAAGAATTTTTCCTTTCTTCATAATCTGCAAATGCAGAAGCAACAGGGTCCGAGTAGAGCATGACAGGCCTTGGTCCTTCATTGTTCATGGTGAAAGTGGCTGGGAGCTTCCTGACATCAAGACCCCTGCTTGAAAAATAAGCCTGGAGTGTTCTGAAAAACTGAACATATTGCATATATGAAAATAAAGTGTGCCCAGCAGAGATTAATTATTTCCACTGACGAAGTACATCTATGTGTTCCTGTGTGGGATGAAATCCTCTACCTTGGCCATAAACTAGTACAATATAGACAATATAATTCAGACATGTCCACTCTGTTCATGGCTTGTACACGCGACATGGCATCAAACGTTCACCAACTGCTTACTGACCATCTCTACTCCCCACTGAACCCCAGAGGATTCAAACTGTCTAGTAAACCAGGCACAGCAAAACCCTTGCTCAGAGCAAACACTGCAGTTGTGTTAGACATTTCTCTAAGAGTTAGCAATAGTGGGTAATTGATTTGAATTGGTCCCTTAGATCACTTAAAAGCAGAAATTAATGCTTCTTAAGCATTAATTTCCTTAAGCATGCAAGGAAAAATTGTGGGAAACTGATATTTTTTCTTCACAAATTGCTCATAACATCTTGCAAGTGTTCTCTTAATTCTCAGATGTAATTAACTTTCAGTTCTTCAGCCGCTACTCATAACCATGTATCAGGTGCAAGCTTATCTTCTTGAAGTACAAATGTGCAGTCAATCAACAGAGTACACATTTGAGAGGAACATAATCACAGACTGATTTGGTTGGGAAGGGACCTAGAAGATCATCTAGTTCCAACCCCCTTGCCAATAGACCAGGTTGCTTAAAGCCCCATCCTACCTGGCCTCGAACACTTCCAGCCACTCTCGGGGCAACCTGTGCCAGTGCCTCACCACCCTCACAATAAAAAACTTCTTCCTAATATCTAATCTAAATGCACCCTTGTTATTATGATAATAATCATTCCTCTTCTGTTTCATAAACCAGGTGCTTGTATAAACATAATACATCTTTAAAAACTAAAGCCACTGGATGGAAATATAAGACAGATTTATGCCCTACTGCACACTGAGAATGTCTCTTCAGTTAAGGGGTACATCTTGACTGAAGAATGCTCATCCAGTTGGTTGTTATTGACTACACAAAGTGCACAGTTACATTACACAGCATTTAATGGGCCCCTCTTAGCTTTAAATTTAGAAGGTAAAAAAATTCTCATGATGGAAAGTAAAAAACCCCCACAAAACTTGGGCTATCTGTCTTGCAACATTTCCTTACCAGGTCTCTGTTTCTAGGGTTATCTAGAGGTTTCCATTTTTCTTCTGGTTGGAAAGGAGCACCCTTTACCAGTCCTCTCACAGCCACTACTGTATATAGACCCAGCAGCACCACTTTCCACATGCTGAAGAGATGAACAGACTATCTGTAAGAAGGACAACGAAACAGACTTCTTAAGTCATAGAGAGCTGTCACTGGTAAAAAAGAAAGCAAGCACAACAGTCCAGTGGAATGCTGACAATAATTTAGTCACGGCAAGGAAAATCTGCCTCCTGCAGATTACGTCCATGCGCTATCAAAGCTTCTTTGTTTTCCTAGTACTAATGTACTAATACATTTCCTAGTACTAATGTATTAAGAAGAACGAATTATCCTAAGGAAGTGCTTCCCATACCAAAGCTATTTTTCTAGACACTGGATTCTCTTTTGAGAGGGACTAGAATGACATTTAACAAAAATTATTTACATTTGTAGATTTACGTTGGTTATTACCTACAGTCATTTACATTGGCTCATCAGTTACAGCATCAGATCTTTGTGTGCACCAAGAAATACGGCTTGAGATCCAGATAACTCACTTTTAAAAATGGCATTAAATGAAAGCGTACTACATACATTAATAAATGCAATAACAACATAGCCTGGTGTAACCCACTAAAGACCCATTTTTACAACTTGATTCAAGGACGGGGGGGTGGAGGGAAGGAAGAAATCATTCTCCCTTTCACATTCTTTAAAATAAAGCTTACCAGTGAATTTGGCTCTGGCTTGCCCCTTCTTGGTTAGTCTCCTTGTAATCTGTGAACAAACTGATCTCTGCACTTATATTTCTAGTGGACTGTAGGTGGGTGTCAATGACGTTAGCAGGAGTTCAAAAATACAGTAATGATTCCATTTCCATCCATGACATAAAGACCCTTGAGAATTTCATCCTTAATACTCTGAAGACCTGTTGCTATCGAACAGTGCAGTTAAAATTCCTCTTCCCTAAGCCATATTGCAGAAAATTGGTGGTAAGCATATAAGAACTTTAAAACAATTCCCAGGAGAGATAGCAGAGATTTAATTAATTAGCCACATCTCTAGAATGGTAACTAACAGGTAATTACAGCTGGTTGAATGGTTTTCAAGCAAGACGAGATATGGATCATTTTCTTGATGCTGGACAGACATAGAGAGAGAGTAAGGTCTGTTTCAAGATCCAAAATCATAACATTTTAATGGAAGTGTTGCTTTCCTACCTTGGCTTTATCAGCAGTTAATATCCTCTTGTCAGACTAGAAACTAAGACAAAGACTGCAATGAGGACTATGTTAATTTACCTTTGCCTTATTCCATAGCTTTCTTCAGCTCCAAGTTTTTGCTTACAATTTCATTATACTCTTGTCTCTGCTATTTAGAGTATACTTTACTTAGTATCACATAAAATATCTCTAAATAAACACGTTAAAACTAAAGATATTTGACCGTTATCTCACTCCAAATTATAGACATTTATTTCTGACTAGATGCTTTACATCTTTGTTTGGTTTAAATTTTGAAAGCAAAACAAACCCCTAACACCAGCCTTCCAGGCAGGCAAAGTTGTGGACATCTAAACCTCATTAGCGACACAGTAAACAAAATCCTAGCAGGGTTGTTGTCATGACTGCAATAACATATAAAAATACAAGTCAATTTATCCAGCTTGTATATTATTCTACAGACTTGGAATAGAAAAAAGATTTACACCCCCATCAATTACTTTTCATAATAGACAAGTTCCAGATACTAGACTTATTGAGAACCAGAACAACAGCAGAAACAGAACTTGTAAATAGGCAGGGCCCAATGTAAGGAAACTCTCTGGTGATTTTCTAGGTAAATACTTTGTTCTAGTTTAATTTTTTGCATAAACATAATGAAGTCATCTGTAAATGTGAAACAAGTTTTATTACCTTCGTAACTTAGGCAGTTTGGTTGACTGATGAAGTATGCAGCTATGCAAGAGATCAGTTAGCATATGGGGGTTGGACTAAGATGATCTCCAGAGGTCCCTTCCAACCCTAATGATCCTGTGATTTTGTGAGCTGTCTTTAAAAAAAGAAGAACCTACAAACTTGCATTGTTGCTTTCTGAGCTATGTGTGTTTGAGAAACTGAGCTAAAAGTCTGTTTAGACTTAGTGCTCATTTTAATGCATGTTTCTTTCATGGTGTTTCGGTTTGTTTTTTTTTTCCGTTTGCGGTTATTTTTTTGTGGTTTGGGGTTTTTGTTGTTATTGCTGTTAGTTGGTTTGTTTGCTTGTTTGGGTTTTTTGTTGGTTTTGTTTTTTAAGATGATTACATTATAGCTCTTTCCTTCAGTGAAGTACAAGCAGAACACGTATTACAATACTATTAGTACAGTTACACTGATTGAACAAAATTGCATCCTCCTTTGAGAACAGTAGCTACTTTAACAAACACTTTCCAAGCTAGATGTCAGTGTGATGCCTTTTTAATGCAGCCAAATTTAAGCATTAGGTCTTTGTCGTGGTTTAAACCCAGTCAGGTAATTCGTTCGCTCACTTCCCCCCCTTTCTTGCCCTCCCCCTGCTCTCGGAGGGACGGAGAGGAGAATCAAAAGAATGCAACTCCCACGGGTTGAGATAAGAACAGTTTAGTAACTAAGGTATAACACAAATCACTACTGCTACCACCAATGATAATAATGATAAAGGAAATAACAAGGGAAGAGAATACAACACCTCAGCACCAGCTGACCGATAACTCGCCCCCCAAGCCTGACCAAGCTCCGACCGATACCTCCTCCAACCCTGCAGTCTCCCAGCCCTTCCGGCTAACTCCCAGTTACATCCTGGGCATGATGTGCTGTGGTATGGAATAGCTCTTTGGTCAGTTTGGGTCAGGTGTCCTGTCTCTGCTTCCTCCCAGCTTCCCCTCCTCCCTGGCAGAGCATGAGGCTCACAAAGTCCTTGGCCAAACCAAAACATCTCTATCAGCTCTGTTCCCGAGCCGAAAGTCAAAACACTGCACTGCACCAGCTACCAAGGAGGAGAAACATGACTGCTACTGCTGAACCCAGGACATTATCCACCCCTTATTCCATACCATTCATGTCATGCTCAGATCCCACATTTTCAATATACCATCACTCTTATCTCGGTGCACTCTTATCTTAGTGCATGGACCAGTCCCTATAAAGCTGCTGCGTCCATCTGGTCCATGTCAGGCTCCATCTCTTGTAACAGTCTTCCAGTGCAGGAGAGACTGTGTGCAGTGTTCACACTCGTGAATAACCTGGGCAATAGTGTCCATTGTTAAGTCCACCCCTCGATCATGAGTCCATCTCTGTGTTGCATCTCTGCTCTGGTGGCGTGAAGTGCCATGGGCCCACCAGGCTTAAAATAATTCACTGTCCCCTTCAGCAGTTTCTGCAGCTTGTTGCTGGGGACTCCATACAGCTGCCTTCCATCTCCGATGCTTCCAAAGCACTGGAGGGGCCCAGTGGACTAGATACTTGCCCATACTGTCCCACACACCCTGCCACTCATGACTCTCCAGCCTTGGGGAAAATCTCTTGGTCCCCCTATATTGTTGTCTAACCCCAGACAAGACCCAAACCTGACTCTGCTTAACTTTTGAGATCAGACAAAATGGTTGTGGGTAGAACACAGTCTGTGTGTGTGCCAACATGCTGATCCCCATCACAATCAGCAGGCAGGTCCCAAGGGTACCCAAAGGCCATTCAGAGCCTTCAGAACTCTCAAACGATGCTGCTGTGCTTGTCACTGGGGCTGGTGTAGCTGCTGTGCTTGCCGGCTCTCCCACCGCCAGCTTCTCTTTTCCTGAGTCCAGCTCTTCCTCCTCTGCCTTGCTGGGAAATGCTGCGTGGTCTCCGGCATCCTCCTGGGGCTCGGCGGGCGGCTTCCAGGGGATGCTCTCGGCCGTCTCAGGGCGGGGCTCGGCCGCGGGGCTCGGCTCTTCCGCGGGGCTTGGCTCCTCCGGGGGGTTCGGCTCTTCCGCGGGGCTCGGCTCCTCCGCCGCCTTATCCCGCTGCTCGGCAGCCGCTTCCTTCTGCTCCTCGACCGCCCCGACCTCCTCCACCGGCAGCCGTCCCCTCGCGGCCTCCGGCCCCGCTCCCGCCGCCGCTTGGTCCCCGGGGCCGCTCTCCCGGGCCGCTTCAGCAGCCGCCGGCTCCCGGGACCGCTCCCCCTCAGTTCCCCGCAGCCTCACGAAGATGGAGAGTAGGGTGAGGGCCAGGACGGTGAAGAGCAGCCGGACGGCCAGGTACAAGTCCACGGCCACGTCCGTCCCGCCCTGCTGCTGGAGCCCACCCGTATTACAAGCCATTGCCATAAAGCACAGTGAGGCAAGAACCTTAGCCCAAGCCCCACACTTGATAAACACTATCACAGCAAATACTGGCTCTACGTAAGTTACAACGGTCTGAAGCTGTGAGATCAAGAAGAACAACTCTGAGAGCCAATAAATCAGCATTGTGCAGAATGACTATTAATCCAGTCAGATCTGTCGTTATCTCAACCCTTCGTGCCCCACGTTGGGCGCCAAAAAGAACTGTCGTGGTTTAAACCCAGTCAGGTAATTCGTTCGCTCACTTCCCCCCCTTTCTTGCCCTCCCCCTGCTCTCGGAGGGACGGAGAGGAGAATCAAAAGAATGCAACTCCCACGGGTTGAGATAAGAACAGTTTAGTAACTAAGGTATAACACAAATCACTACTGCTACCACCAATGATAATAATGATAAAGGAAATAACAAGGGAAGAGAATACAACACCTCAGCACCAGCTGACCGATAACTCGCCCCCCAAGCCTGACCAAGCTCCGACCGATACCTCCTCCAACCCTGCAGTCTCCCAGCCCTTCCGGCTAACTCCCAGTTACATCCTGGGCATGATGTGCTGTGGTATGGAATAGCTCTTTGGTCAGTTTGGGTCAGGTGTCCTGTCTCTGCTTCCTCCCAGCTTCCCCTCCTCCCTGGCAGAGCATGAGGCTCACAAAGTCCTTGGCCAAACCAAAACATCTCTATCAGCTCTGTTCCCGAGCCGAAAGTCAAAACACTGCACTGCACCAGCTACCAAGGAGGAGAAACATGACTGCTACTGCTGAACCCAGGACAGTCTTCTTGACAAATTAAGTATATAGACACACATAGTCAGTAAATGGAATCTTTTGCAAGTGGCTGCACTAATTATCTAGCCCTTATGGCATGGTAATGTTCATGTGTGTTTGAATGAAACTGCACTGAAGCTGAAGATGCATGTAGCACTGTTTGTTCAGTTTCATGCAAGTTAATTCAAGAAGGTAAAAAATCTAAAACCAATTAGTTTAGCTGAGAACAAGTTTTATACACATTGCTCTATATAAACTATATTATTCACCAAACATTTTCCATCTTATTGCATTACTGATTCATGATAGCAAGGCACGTATAATATGCATGAAGGAAGACATTAAGACAGGTTTCATCAGGGATGACCTTTATTGTACTCTATTTGAGATGGGGGAAAAAAGTGTCTGTGACTTAAAAGTACTGCTCTAATCACCATGCTCTTTTATTCACTGTTTTTATTTTCTGCGTAGAATCCCAAGGGAAGGAAAAGCACCAAACTGCTCCACATGAGTACCTGAGCAAAGACTGAAGGCAAACAAACATTCATCACAACACTCATTAGTGTTTGTACAACAGAAGTACAAGTAACATCCACAACACTCCACAGAGTATGAGAGGTAAGTGGCATTTTTTGTGAATTACAACCATTTGTATTAATGCAATCATGTCAGAACACCACACAAAAATATACAGAAGTGTTTGTTTAGCAGAGCATATGCTATACAGTGCTCTTTTTAGTCATGCATACTTAGGTAAAAAAAAGACAAGTAAAAA